CTCTCTCTCTCTCTCTCTCTCTCTCTCTCTCTCTCTCTCTCTCTCTCTCTCATGTATAATATACCCCCCAAAAAAGTAGAAAAATACAATAGATTGGTCATACTAAACATCACCAGACCATTATGGAGGAAATAAAATACTTGAAGGCATGATATATAGATCTATGAGTCACAAGTGCTAGGAGTGAACAATACACAATGGGACCGACAATACCAAAGTATGGACCGGGCTAAATTTGACAAATGGCAAAATGCATGAGAACAGCCGGCGAACGTAAACAATGGCGGGTCATTACATGTCAACCTCTGGGCCAGAGAAGGCACTTTCAGATAGTTTTAGTTTTAGTAGAGGTTTCACGGCACGCGCAACTGCAAAAGGTCAGATGAGCGCCAGAAGATTACAAGAGAGTAACAGCCATAAAAAAGAAAAGGAGAGGTAAAGACGATAGATGTTTGACAGGAAAGAAGAAGCAAACCACATCTGAGCACCCGCCAACCACCCACTCTTTCAGATAGATGAAAGATTTATTAATACGCACATAGGCTCAGTAGTAGTACACGAGTAATACACGTGTAATTAGTATTCTCTTATCTTAAGTACCTCCATTTTCCGCAAGGAAGTGCTATAATTCATATTATACCATACACGGAGCTGTTTTAGTACTGTACTTCCAGTACTATAAATCATTTTACAAAGTTATTGAATACCTTATGGTGGTAGACCATGATTTATCCTAAGTGGAAAATTGCCAGTTGTAATCACTCGTTGAAACTCGTGCATACAACTTGGTGATTTCGCTCGAAGGATAAAATACCATGATCTCCTTTCATAACTCATGTAATACTTTCCTTTTGTTCCACTCATTCACTTTTATGTTCCTCAATTTTCTACAGGTGCAAGACAGTGTAATAATTAGTTATATTTTCTGTATCGTGTTTTATTCGTCTAGCAATCTTCCTCCCCCTTCCCATTTGCAGATGGTTGGAAAACGCCACTGAGAATGCAAAATGCGTGAGTGTGTGTGTGTGTGTGTGTGTGTGTGTGTGTGTGTGTGTGTGTGTGTGTGTGTGTGTGTGTGTGTGTGTGTGTATTAAGGGTACGGTGTTAGATCATAGTAATTTGTATCCAATAGTATGGCAGAGCCTATATACTTTACTTTGTACTCATTTGTATGTTAAAAACAAGCAGTCTTCTAAAGTGTACAAAATTTGGTTGTTTCAGGTATTAGAAATAAGCTTCTTGTTGTTGTCGTTGCTGTTGCTGTTGTTGCTGTTTCTGCTGTTGTTGTGGTTCTTGTTGTTGTTGTTGATGTTGTTGTTAGTATGATGATGATGATGATGATGATGATGATGATGATGATGATGATGATGATGGTGATAGTGGTGGTGTTTCTTCTTCTTCTTCTTCTTCTTCTTCTTCTTCTTCTTCTTCTTCTTCTTTTTCTTCTTCTTCTTCTTCTTC